TATATATTACATATATGTATATATATATATATTAAATATATATATATATACATTTATTTAAAAAAAATTAATAATTAATAATATAATAAAATAATAATTATATAAATATAAATATATATACATATATATATATATATATATATATATATATTATAATATATATATATATATATAAATATATATATTTTTTTATGTCATATAAAACATATATATATATATATATATATATATAAATATATATATATATATATATATATATATATATATATATATATATATATATATATATATATATATATATATATATATATATATATATATATATATATATATATATATATATATATATATATATATATATATATATATATATGTATATACATATATATATCCTTATAGTGTAGTCGAGAGAGACTTGTATGGTAAAAAAAAGTCTCTTTTGACTAAAATTTTTTTACTTAGTCTTTGAAGCTGCATTTTATTGTCGTCGAAATATCAAAACAGTTAAATTAATGTCGAAGTACCACATATTTTTAATCACTTTAATTGTTTGCACTGTTTGATCATATAGAAAATAAGTTTTTAAACCTCTTTATACAAAAACTATTTCCCACCAAATAAAAACAAATTATTAAACCCAAAACTGTTTTTGTTAACTCGTTTGGGGAATTTACAGATTTGCCAAAAATGTTACCTACTTGAAAGGTTAACTGTTGTGTGACATTAATTTCATCCATGTGTAGAACAACTTGTCTTTGAGAAATTGAATTTTTTAAAATCAAACTTTAAAAAATTATTATCTCCAAGATTTCCAACTTTAGATGTCAACTTTGTCATTAAAGATATACTTGGTAATTCGTTGTCATCACGTAATCGAGAATAAAGAGTTCTTGACAATGAAAAGTACTCAAACGCTCTAGCAATAATATCAGGAGAATACTTTTTAACACCAATAAACATTAATGAGTTTATACATCTGTTCAATAACAATATTTTTTTTATGGTCGATTGGTAAAGAATTCAAATAGTGTATTGCAGCATGATGACGGCTAAATAGAGTCAGTAATATTAATATGATTGTAAGAAAAAGGTTTTATGGTCCTTTGATAGCTATCACCACATTGATAGCTATCAAAGGATAAATCATTTTTTATTTTCAAAATAAACTTTGGAACACCCAAGTTGTCTAATATATCAGCAGATTAAAGATCTAAACAGTTTTCATTGATACTTGATACTATTGAGTAGTAAAAAGATATAGTTTTAGACATTATTTTATTACGCAAATCATCGAAAGAAGAAGTATTATCAGCTTTCACAAAAGACTTGATTTCAAAAGAGTAGTTGGTCTTGGTCATGCAAGCGGATTCGGAATTTGACTTGGATTTACACAATAAAATACAGATGGTGGATGTTTTGGTCTTAACTTACCGTAAACTAAAACTTTTTTATAGTCTTTACGCTAACAATCTTTACAAATAAAAGTACTTGGGCTATTTGGAATATTATCTCGAGGTATAGCACTTATCTTTCTTTTTCGTTCATCCACACTTTTTTTATATTTACAGACTTAGTAACATCGTAGTTACCTCTGCATCCAGTAACACAACACTTAAAAACCATAATCTTCAAATTTAATTATTTAGCTCTAAAAAGAAATCAAACTTAATATACATAAAATTAAAACGTATCCCATATTAAATTAAAAACCACGTTCTTTTTTTTAAAACGCGCCATATTACTGAAATTTTATAAAAATAAAACTCACCTAAAGTTTTTTTTTAGCCGTATGTTTATTAGGCCTGCCACTACAGTAGGCCATGGCTAGATACTTACTTGATTAAGGAGGTTTTACTCTTGTAAAGGTTACTGGCCGTAATAATGGTGACAATAAAAAGAAACATGTGGCAAAAAAAAAAAATTAAGTTATAATCAGCTTTGTTGAAGTTTTTTATAATTATTTTCTTATTCGTAAGTTTTTTATGTTATTTTTTAAATCTAAATTATTTTGTTTGCTAAAACAGTAATAAGAAATGCACATCAAAGTATTTATTTATGTATTTCGCCGATAAGAGCAGTTTACAAGTTTATGCAATACAATTATAAAATACACGGCTGGGGCAAGAAGAAGTCAAGTTCAGTCTTATCACCAAACCCCTTTGAATAAAGATGTCAATAAAAAAAATACAAAACAATGTAACTTGTTAAATAAACGTTAAACAAAACGATGCGTTCTAATAAAATAACGTAATATAAAATGTAGCGTTTAATAAAAAATAAAAATGAAAATTATTTACGCTTATATTAAAATGTAATATATCCTAAAGTATACAAACGTTTTTTTAATTTTTTTTTTTTTTTTTATGAAATAATTTTTTTACTAATTGGTTTTAGATTTATAAAACTTTTGAAT